GGTTGGAGACTGCTGTTACAGCGTTCCCAGACTTACAGGTGGGTAAGGAAGGTCACTTCCTGGCAGGTCCAGGAAGCTTAGGATATTTTGGGAACCTCAGGAAGAGAGGAATTCACCCAAATCTATAGTTCTTATAGGAAAAATAAGGTCATGCTTGGCTTGACTTTTAAGCTTCAAGAGGCTTTTAAAATTCTAATCTGAGATTCCTCATGAAAAATTCCAGCAAAAAAAACTCAAAAAGGCCTGAGTGGTCATTCTTGCTGCAATTATGTAAATCACCAGGCCAAATCTAATGAGACCAGACTTATTTTGTAAACAAGAATTTTCAAAGGAGGTGACTGGAGAGAGAAAATTATAGTGTACCCTTGTGGGTTATGAAATTCTAGTCCCGTTCTTTTTTTTTTTTTTTTTTTTTAGCTTTCCGTTGTCAACCTGTATATTGGACTGGATCCTGCCATCTTATACATTTTGTCAGCTCTTCTAGTTTCCTCTGATAGCTGACTACAACTCTCCAAACTAACATTTCTAATTTTTCCCCACCCTCCTCACTTGGCATCACTGATAATTAAAACTATCTTTTTCCTAAAGCCCAAGAAGTTGAAGCTGTACCACCTGGTATAAACTGGAAATCACCACAACTTTTCATATATGGGTAACTTCATGAAAATCTCTTCTTTCCTTGAACAAGAAGAGGGACCGACAAAGACTCTTCTTAACCAAACTTTAGTCAGATTTCTCTAAGCCCTTTTCTTGTCTAGGCCCCTCCTTGTAATACCTGCATAGCCTAGTTTCAGCAAAAATCTTGCTAAGTTAGTTAACAGAAAATCTTTTACCCTTGATATCTGATCACCCTTGATATTTGGTCAAATTGCTCATCCCCCACCAGGCAATATGTGATCACCCTGGCTTGCCTTCAGCAAGAGTATTGTTAAGGTGCTATAACCAGAATCCCCCTATGTTTCCTCTTAGTTATTGTACATCCACTGGCCTTCATCCTGCTCCTTGGTAATAAATCCCTGCTTGTTATTGCTGTATTTGGAATGGATCTCAGTTCTTTACTGAGGTCTGTTTCCCTTTATTATAATAGTTTCTGAATAAAATCTGTTTTTACTGCTTTAATCACTACCACTTCTGGCTTTCTTTGACAATATCGAAAGTATACAATATGGAAGAGCAATTACTGTCATGTGTTTACACTGACAGATATTTCAACTTACAGTTGAATAAATCCAGTGATGTACAAAGTTTGAGTTGGTGCTTTGTGTACATACAGAATGTCCAGGAGGGAGATTATTTGGCAACTTTTTGTTCTATTTATTATTGAAAACCTAGTATATGGAAAAAGATACAATGAGATCTGTTTGTGAAAAGGAAGGCAAGATATTGCTATGCAAATTAAAAAGGTGGCCTCTAAATGGAAATTTATATTGTGTATTTGCAAATAATAGTTGGTAGTCAAAAATCCTCCACTAGGTTTTGATTTATTATTGAAGGAAATACTGCTAATTATCAGTACTATCAAACTGTAGCCTTTAAGGATGTATATATCTTTTTGGCATACTATGTGAGGAATTGGGCTGTAAGTATAATCTGACTATTGAGGTAAAAAGAGCCTCATATTAGTTTTTAAAATGAGAGACAATGAAAATATTCCTTCATAATGCTGATAATTCGAGTAAAGACCATTTTGAGTAACTTAATTGAGCGACATGTCACAGCAGTATGTTAATTCAATATGTTGAATTGCTTGAATCTTCACTTCAGTCTCAAAATATTCCATTTAAAAAATCTGCAGATGACAGATTAGAGTTTCTTTTTAAAAAATGGAACAGGGGCCAGGTGCGGTGGCTCATGCCTGTAATCTCAGCACTTTGGGAGACCAAGGCGGGCAGGTCACAAGGACAAGAGATCGAGACCATCCTGGCCAACATGATGAAACCCTGTCTCTACTAAAAATACAAAAATTAGCTGGGCATGGTGACATGTGCCTGTAGTCCCAGCTACTTGGGAGGCTGAGTCAGGAGAATTGTTTGAATCCAGGATGTGGAGGTTGCAGTGAGCTGTGATCGCGCCACTGCACTCCAGCCTGGCAACAGAGCGAGACTCTGTCTCAAAACAAAATAAACAAAAAGAAACAACAACAAATAAAACTGAACAGTGGTATAAATGGTCTAAACTTAAATGTTTTCCCATACCTTTCTTTTATAATTTCTTTACTTTTTAGAAACACATGACTTATTTTCATGTTTAAAAGTTCTGTCACTACAAATGTAATGTTACTTACATAATGCTTCATGAGAAAATGAGGAAATAATACTTTTTAGAGCTAAAAGCAGTTAAAGAATGATTAGGAAATCTATTTACATTGTCTCCCAAGTTGAAACGGTCAATCTTTCTGCATTCATTTGTGATAAGTCTGTCAATTTAATGCCGGATAGAGTTCTGAAACATCTTTAGTGATGATTCTTTATAATTTTTAGGTTCACAATAGTCTAAATATCCAGTTCTCCCTGACAAAGCCACCAAATGTTTATTGTCATTTTATAATCATTAGTGGGGAATCAAGAGTTTATAGTTTGGTTAAAGTAATCATGATTGAAACTAGTTGGATGTGGAACTCAAGGACTTGTGGCTTGGAGTCTTTGTCATTGGGTCAGGTGTTGACAATTTGATAAGTGTACAAACAAACTACAGTCTCTTTCACTGACAAGAAATAATAATATATATTTTATTTAAAATAAATTATTAAAAAAATTTAGTATTGTGGTCCATGGATGCTGAAATAATATTTGTCACCTTTGTAAAAAAAAAAAGTTGTGTTGGCTAGGTGTGGTGGCTCACACCTGTAATCCCAGCACTTTGCGGGACTGAGGCAGGCAGATCACCTGAGGTCAGGAGTTCGAGACCAGTCTGGCTGACATGGTGAAACTTTGTCTCTACTAAAAATACAAAAAAATTAGCTGGGCATGGTGGTGGGCATCTGTAATCCCAGGTAATTGGGAGACTGAGGCACAGAATCACTTGAACCTGGGAGGCAGAGGTTGCAGCGAGCCGAGACCATGCCATTGCACTCCATCCTGGGCAACCAGAACAAAATTCCGTCTCAAAAAAAAAAAAAAAAAGATAGCATTTGTTGATCACTTACTATGAGGCAAACATTCTAAGTGTAATAAACTCATGTTAACAGTGAAGGAGTCAGTGGTTTACAGACTGATGCATGGAGAGAATAACTTATCGAAACTTACCCAGCTGTTAATTGACAAAATTAGGATTTGAACAGAGTCAGTCTGGTAGTAAAGTCTGCTCTTAACCACTGTCTGGCAGAGATAAATAGTACTGTAGGAGTTCCTGAGAGGTCAATTCAAGTACAAGTATTTCATATTTTGAGGTTTCCTAAAGTATTTCTCTACTTCTTTAATATACAAGTTGCCCACATTATTCTCCTTCTCATTGTTACTACAACCAGTGAGTATCTTGATTAGAATCTTTCTGGGAGAGAAGCAGTTACTAAGAAGGGAATGCTTCATAGACAGAGAGAGAAAGGATCATTTTTGTGGTCACAGGTTATTTTCTTAGTCTTAGCTAAATTTTTTTTTGGGAGGGGGGACGCTATTGTGGTCCAAAGACAATTTAGGTGACTCATAAGCTATCACCTCTAATCCCCCAGGTGGCTCAAAATTGCATGCTTATAAGAGTATCTCAGTGAGTGAATAGCAGTATCTCCTTGCATGAAAAATACACACATATCATAAATACTTTTAAAAATGAAAGTATCTCAGTGAGTGAATAGCAGTATCTCCTTGCATGAAAGATTTACACATATCATAAATACTTTTAAAAGTTTGAGTTTAATATAAATTCAAAAATATAAATCAGTTTTCCTATAAATATACTAAAAACCTTTTTATGAATAGCAATTTAATATATTTTAAAGCATTTATTTTGTACAGCTTTTTTACTAAATTTATCTTATTACTATTTGTTAAAAATAAATGGAAATTCAAGTTTATAGTCTTGCTCTAAATCATTTTCTAAAAATCACATTTCATAATGTAATGTTTTTGGCTTGTTTTAAATATACCCTCTTGCTGGCTGGTGTGTGTTGGAGTAAAGCTTTCTTTTTTAAATCTAGTAGCGCCCTCTAGAGCAAAAGGTAAAACACAATTTGATAAGAAAGGAGTAGTTTCACAAATTCAAATATTCTTAAAATTTCCTATCCTGTGTGATAGTTTGTTACTTAGAAGTACCAAAGAGCTGGCCAGGCATGGTGGCTCTTGCCTGTAATTCCAGCACTTTGGGAGACTGAGGTGGGTGGATCACTTGAAGTCAGAAGTTCTAGACCAGCCTGGCCAACATTGCAAAACTCTGTCTTTACTAAAAAGACAAAAATTAGCTGGGCATGGTGGCTTATGCTTGTAATGCCAGCTACTTGGTGGAGGGGCTGAGGCAGAAGAATTTATTGAATCTGGGAGACAGAGGTTGCAGTGAGCCAAGATTACGCCGCTGCAGTACTCTAGCCTGGGCAATAGAGTGAAATTCCTCTCAAAAAATAAAAAAGAAGTAGCAAACAGCTGAACCTAAATGCTATTTTGCTCAAATATATATATTCTTTTCAAGGATGCCTTTTAGGTAAGTTCTTCTTAGCTACGATTAAAGATTAGTATATCTTTTTCTTACCTCCTTGTGAATGTAATGGTACATAATTTTATTTTTAAATGGATATTTAAATAAAATTACCCATAAGTATTGAATTTCTTGTTGACCAATATAACATGCCAAAATCTATTGTATGTCCATTTTGTATGTGATAGTGTGTTTGTTTTGAGGATTACAAAATAAATAGAGAATAAATCACACCCTCAGTACCTATGCTCTTATTTCCGCTTGTTTTTTGTAATAGAGCATGACACATATTGGGTCTGGTAGTGGTCTTGACTAAAAAATTATCTTGATTAAATTAATTAATAATATTATTGATATATATCCATTTTTTATTACAGAAGAAAATACTCAGGAAACATCCCAGATGAAGAAAAGTTTGGCAGAAAAAGTTTCTCTCTATAGAGGTGACATCACATTGCTAGAGGTAGATGCTATAGTCAATGCGGGTGAGTAGTTGGTTTTTCTGTGATATGTTTGTTATGTGAGTATTATTTCAAAATATTTTTAATAAATAAAAATGTAAGTATTTTAGAAAAAAATCCTTTCTGATGTAGAAATGTTTCTCTTCTTGATTAAAAACATTGGAGTTTTTTTTTTGTATGTTCTTCAATTAATGTGCAATCTACAGCACCCTCTACAGTGAAAAGCACTAGACTGAGATTAGGGTACTGGACCACTGGATAAGTGACAGTTGCAGAAAGTTATTCAGACAGAACTTTAGCAAGTATGTTATTGTTAGTTTCATAGCTCAAATTAATAGTTGGCCAACATAAATACAAGTTCATCAAACTTTTTTCTTTTGAATAGGTTGTCAGGCAGTGATTGAACTGTGTAAGACAAAAGTGAAAATATAAAGAAATTATTTGAGTGATTTCAAAACTTAAGTTGTTTGGGTTCAGGTTTTCATTTTCATCATGAAATGCTTAATTTTAACCAGCATATTCCAATTATTTTAATAAGTAATTGTCTAGTTAATTTTTCTATTTCAACATTGGGAAAAATATAATAGATGTTACATTTTATTATGTGATTATATATCAAAAAAGATACAGTAGCTGTGATTCTATAAAAAATATTGTAAATGAGAGGATATTTAATGGTTTTAATTTGTCTTTTGTAAAGTTAGGCTGTTTGAAGGTTGACAGTGTCAAAAACAAATCTGGACTTGGTTAAGGAGAGTCTTTATCTAAACAGACTGTTACAAAACAGGGAGGAGGATGATTGCAGAGGCAGAATATTGCAGCAGGATAACTGCTTCAACTATGAGCTATAAGTGTCTCAAGGGTTAAGCACAAAAGGGCTTTTCTTTTATAGTAAGGAGTAAACAAGGCTACAAAGAATTGGGGCTGAGGAATTGTATGAGGGGGTGGCTTGAAACAGTTATCAGGGAATGTTTTTCCCTGAGATCAGCTGGTTCTGGGAAGGGCTGTTAAGAAGGGGTTGCTCACCTTCCATTGCTCCAGGCTGGACCAAAGTTCAGGGGTTTCCAGGAAGGAGAGGAGCCTGACTAAAGTTTGGTCAGGTTGTTTGTGGGCATTGACCAACCAGAATGGTAAATGGGGACAAACAGCTCGGCGAATCATGTATGAGACAGAGAATGGGAATTTGGAAGGCCTCTCTGGCCTTGTCATTGGTTGCAAAGTGGTCATCTGTCAGTTTTATCTAGCAAGCCCTTTCCCACAACACAAAAGGGTGGGGGTAATTTCTTGACTGTGGCTTTTTCCAAGAGTACAGAGTTCATGTGAAGTTCACTGTTATCTCCAGGTTCCCTATGGTGATAATAAATTCACACAGGATAGTAGGAAATGCTTTGGCAGCTGAACAGAAGGGCCTTATGGAGAACTGAAACATTGTGCGAGGATATTGTACAGTTCTGGCAATTTAGCAGAAAGTTCAGATACTGGTCAGCTTGTTGTTCCCTCACAACTGGGTATCAGTTACAGCTGGGTGCGGTGGCTCACGCCTGTAATCCTAGCACTTTGAGAAGCCAAAGTGGGTAAATAACTTGAAGTCAGGAGCTCAAGACAAGCCTGTGGTGAATCCCATCTCTACCATAAAATACAAAAATTAGCAGGGTATGTTGTTGGCAAGCGCTTGTAGTCCCAGCTACTTGGGAGGCTGAGGCAGAAGAGTCACTTGAACCTGGGAGGCAGAGGTTGTAGTGAGCTGAGATCATACCATTGCACTCCAGCCTAAGTGACAATTGAGATCTTGTCTCAAAAAAAAAAAGAGGTCGGTGTCAGTTGCTTTGTACCAGCTGCTTTGCCATAATCAAGGCTCAGTTTTCACCTTTCCTTCTGATGCTTCTACACTTCCTTTCTCCTCTGCTGCTTCTACTTCCTGTCTAAAATGTAAAACTCTTCTTGAAAGAGGAGGCTGGGTCATTTAATCACCACCCAATATGACTCACTCCATCCTCAGGTTACCTCATAGTGTACAGGTCTCTGTTATATGTGATATCTATGGATTGTTCATTTGTGGCCCTGGGTGTCAGGATGCTTTCTTCTGTCCTGTGGCGCCTCTGGGGAGCACAGGTCCTTGGAAAGGGTCTCAGGAAGTCTTCTCCAGTAGTTTTAACAAGTTATCACTCTAGCTAGTAAGTTAATATATATGCCTTAAATTCTATAAATATATGAGATTTAATTTTTAAAAATTTAAAAGATTATATCTATCCATATGTATGTAAAAGATATATGCACACATGATCTTATATATATATACACATATATGTATATACACATGATCCTAGTTTTGTCCTGAGGAAGTCCAACTGATGATATCTACTTCATTTTAAAATACTTGAAGATCACTCTCACGAGTTTTCTTCTTGTTATGAAGATAACATTGAATTTGCTGTGTCAGCACACACTTAATAACAGTAATAATGGTCTTTTTTTGGATTTTGCTGTCTTCCCATGAGAGCCACACAATAGTGCCATTTTCTCTTTTTGTGTCCACTCCCAAAGCAATGTCTTCTTCTTAAAAATACTTAATATTGTATATTTGTTAAATTGAATTATTTAATATATGTAATTGAATTTGTAGCATCTCTGACTAATAGGACATTCAGCACTGGAGACTTGACACAGTGAACCATCTGACTCTGGTTTTGTTATTTATCTGATCAATCAATAAAAATATTTTGAGAGTAATTACTGAAATAACATAAAATGGTGCAAAGCAGAACATCATTAACTACCTCATCACTATTTTGTTTTTCAAATGTTATTATCTTGCTCTTGCCTAAATGTGTAATTTTTCATAGCTGCTACATAATGTATAAGGGTAAGGTAAGTTTATATGAAGACAGGAAGCAACTTTTGCTTACTCCCAAGAATGATTTGGTAATTTTAGCTCACCTCTCTGGCTGTGATGATTGTAATTTGGCCATGTTTTACATCTCACAAGGATAGTCTCATCAGGAATGGAAAAGGGATGCCAAGTGAATGTATGCTGTAATGGCTTTATTTACGGCTTTCTACTGTGCAGCTTGTTTGCCTGGTATGGAAGGAGCGTAACAGCTGTTAACCTTTCAGGTGAACAAGTTAACATGGAGGAAACTAGAGAGCTACCTCTACTAAGAGGGAGTGAAAAAAAAGTACCCCTAGTCCTTATGCCAAAGCAGCCCAGTTATCACCTCCTATTAGACTTCTGACGTTCTCTTTTCATGACCAGATTAGTACATTGGAACACTTGATCTTAGTTGCTATGAATGAAATGATTCGATATTTTAAACTTCTTTCTAATAAAGTGTTTTTTTGAATTGTCCTAATTTCTTTAAATGTGACCCAGGATGGACTTCTTGTGTATTATATGTTTCTCTCTAGGAAATTATGCATATTTAGTATGTTTTAATAGAACAGATTTTGCAGGCATTATAGAACACAGGGTGGTAGCACAAGTTTAGAGTTAGGGAGACCTGGGTTCAAATTCAGGTTATTATAACCAAGACTGTTTTTTGTTTAAACTTTTTATTTTGAAATAATTATAGAAAAGACAAAAATAATGCAGAGTCTTATGAACCCTGTGTAAACTTTTCCCAATGGTGACTTTGTATATAGCTATAGTACAATATCAAAAGCAGATTTTAGCAAATAATTTCAACATTTATTTTAGATTCAGGGAGTACCTGTATACTTGTTACATGGGTATATTGCATAACGCCAAAGTTTGGGGTATGATTGATCCTGTCACCCACGTACTGAGCATAGTACCCAATAGTTAGTTTTTCAACTTTTGTGTCTTCTTTTCCTTCCCCTTTAGTAGTCCCCAGTATGTATGGTTGCCATCTTTATGTTCATGTTTACCCAGTGTCAAAAACCAAAAGTTGATATTGGTGCATTACTGTTATCTAGACTACAGACTTTATTCAGTTTTAACCATTTTTAAACTTGCATCCATGTGAATGTGTGTATATTTGTGTGTAGTTTTGTAGTTTTATTTCATATATAGGTTCATGTGACCACCACCTCAATCTAGATACAGAACTATTCCATTATCATAAAAAACTCCCTCATGCTGCCACCTTTGTGTTTATATCCACCTATCTGCCTCCTTCCCTGTTTTTCATCTCTATGGTTTTGTCATTTTTAGAATGGTATATAATTCTAAAAATACATAATAATGCTGCAGTGAACATGCCATGCAGATATCCCTTTGACATACTGATTTAAGTTCCTTTGGATACCTGTAAGTAGAATCAATAGACCATGTGGAGGTTTTATTTTTAGCTTGTTGTGGAACCTCCATGGTGTTTTCCATAATGGCTCTACTAATTTATATTCCCAACAGTGTGCAGGAGTTCTCTTCTCTGCATCTTTACCAGCACTTGTTATCTTTGAACTTGACAAAAGCCATTCCAACAGGTGTGAAATGGTAGTTCATTCTGGTTTCCATTTGTGCTTCCCTAATGATTAGCGGTGCTGAGCATTTTTTTTTCATGTACTTGTTGGTCATTTGTATGTCTTTTTCTGAGAAATGGCTGTCCCATTTGTCTGTTTTTTCTTTCATTGCCACAGAAATTGAACTTACAGTAGAAAATATGGTTACCAGAGGCTGGAAGGGGATTAAAGGAAGGGAATGGGGAGTTGTTGATCAAAAGTTACGAAGTTTCAGATAGACAGGAGGAATAGGTTTTGAGATTTATCTCATAGCAGGGTGACTGTAATAAATAATAATGTATTATATATTTCAAAATAACTAAGGAAGTAAATTTCAAATGCTTCACCATAAAAAATGATAGATAAGTGAAGTGATGGATGTGTTAATTAGCTTGGTTTAATCATGCACGTTGTATATACATATATCAAAACATCACATTGTATCCCATAAATGTATGCAATGATTTGTCAATCAAAATAATATTAATAATAATTAAAAACGCATACAAATTGAATCATACAGCATGTAATCTTTTAAGGTTGCCTTTTATTTTTACTAAACATAGTGCCCTTG